TGAAGGCACTCAACCACCACCAAGGCGACCCTTTTACAGGGTTTTCTGGGCAAAATTTGTTCAGAGGCGGTGTGCTATTGCATTCCTCTGAGGCTGAGAGAGTGTCTTTGTCTCCCTTCTCCTTCCAAATCCCAGATCCTCACCAGTTTCCTTTGGGCCCGGCCCCACTGATCCTTGATCTCTTTCCGACGCTTCTCATGCTCCAGGCGCCTCATTTGCAGGGGCTGAAGGAGAATCCAACAGCAAAGGGGAAAAAAAGGAGAGTCAAAATCTTTACAACAACCTCCCTGCAAGGCAGGCCAGTTTCATCTATTTATTCACTGCATTTTTAAACCATCAGTATTGCAAGGATAATTCTCCATCACCCGTGACGATTCAGTGGATGGAAGACCTAACAACGCTTGCAACGTTTGCAAGAGTGGTATATACAGTGGGTCCCCCCCCCCAACATTCGCTAGGGCTAGGGGCACGGGACTCTTGGGAATGTAGAAAAACTGCAAATAAAAATACACTATTTTTTTTAACATAAGAGAACACCTGTCTAGGAATGCTAAGCCCCCCCCAACACCACTTTATGGTCAACATCTGCTGAACTGAACACAGAATTGCGCTGGAGGACCGACAAATGCCTAAAGAAGTGTCCTCTCTAGGTCTTCCAGCAGAACTTTATGGTCAATATCTCCCAGACATTGACCATAGAATTGCACTGGAGGACCAATAAATGCCTAGAGAAGTGTCCTCTCTAGGAAACTCTAGGTCTTCCAGCATAAATTTATGGTCAATATCTCCTGGACGCTGACCACAGAATTGCGCTGGAGGACCAACAAATGCCTAGAGAAGTGTCCTCTCTAGGTCTTCCAGCAGAACTTTATGGTCAATATCTCCCAGACATTGACCATAGAATTGTGCTGGAAGACTGATAAATGCCTAGAGAAGTGTCCTCTCTAGGAATTTCTAGGTCTTCCAGCACAACTTTATGGTCAATATCTCCTGGACGCTAACCACAGAATTGCGCTGGAGGACTGACAAATGCCTAGAGAAGTGTCCTTTCTAGTAATCTCTAGGTATTCCAGCACAACTTTATGGTCAATATCTCCCAGATGCTGACCACAGAATTGTGCTGGAGGATCAACAAAAGGCTAGAAAGTGTCCTCTCTACAAATCTCTAGGTTTTCCACCAGAACTTTATGATCAATGTCTCCCAGACGCTGACCATAGAATTGCACTGGAGGACTGACAAATGCCTAGAGAAGTCTCCTGTCTAGGAATTTCTAGGTCTCCCAGCACAACTTTATGGTCAATATCTCTCAGCCGCTGACCACAGAATTGCGCTGGAGGACCGACAAATGCTTAGAGAAGGGTTCTCTCTAGGAATGTCCAGATCCTCCAGCACACCTTGATGATCAACATCTGCTGAACTGCAGAGGCGGAAGGTACTTCAAGACTCCTCTGGTCCAAGGGATCAGTTCTCACAAGATCACACCTAAAGATCCCAATGAGCATCACAACCAGCTGCTTTTCATCCCCTTAATAAACACGCAAATTTTCTCCAACTTTCCAGGCTTACCTGCAAGAAGGTCTCCATCCGCAAAGTGGTGGCGGCGTGAAGGGAGCTGAGTGCGTATTCCAGGTCTTGTTCCAGGGCCAGGGAATAGATGGAGAGAAACGGCATGTGGGGCTGAGAAAGCAGAGCAAGGACCAGCAAGGGATCAGTTCACACAAGATCACATCTAATCTCCCCATCCTATCACTCTCATCTTTCACACAACCCAATTTTAGCGCTTCGATCCCTGTCATGGTGCCATCCTGAACAACCCTGGGATTTGTAGTTTCATGAAATATGCCGAATTCTCTTCCAGGGAGCTCTGCAGCCTTATGGTTGTTGTTGTTATTGTGGTTGTTGTTGTTGTGTGCCTTCAAGTCTTTTCTGACTTTTGGAGACCTTAAGCTGAATTTTAAATTCAGCCTGTTTTAAAATGAGTATGCCTTATTTGTCCTTTTAAATTGTTGCATGTTTTAATTAATGTGGTTTAATTGATATTGTTCATTGTTGATTTGTTGTCGTTCACTGCCTCGATCCATGAGGAGAGGCAAGCAAGAAATAAATATATCTATTATTATTATTATTATTATTATTAGCCTTACTTGTCCTTTTAAATTGTTGCAAGTTTAAATTAATATGGTTTAATTGATATTGTTCATTGTTAATTTGTTGTTGCACCCTGCCTCGATCTATGAGGAGAGGCAGGCAAGAATATATATATATATATATATATATATATATATATATAATTATTAGCCTTATTTGTCCTTTTAAACTTGCATATTTTAATTAATGTGGTTAAACTGATATTGTTCCTTGTTAATTTATTGTTGCTCCCTACCTCGATCAATGAGGCGGGGCAGGTAATAAATAAATTATTATTATTATTATTATTATTATTATTATTATTAGCAGCTTCATTTGTCCTTTTAAACTGTTGCATGTTGTAATTAATGTGGTTTGACTGATATTGCTCCTTGTTGATTTGTTGTAGTTCCCCACCTCAAACCATGGAGAGAGGCTAATAATAATAATAATAATAATAATAAATTATCATGGAGTTTTCTTTGCAGAATTTGTTCTGAAGTGGTTTGCCTTTGCCATCCTCTGAGGCTGAGAGAGTGTGACTTACCCAAGGTCACCCAGTGGGTTTCCATGATCAAGCAGAGATTCGAACCCTGGTCTCCTGGAATTATAGTCCAGTGTTTAAACCACCACACCACACTGGTTCTCTCTGGTGTCTCACCCAACTACAAATCCCAAGATTTCACAGGATAGAGCCATAATGGTAATTAAAGTGGGATCAAAAGGCCATAATGATTTAAAGACTGAATATTTACACATTTTCTAGCCCTTGGTGAGAAAGGATGTCCAGAGTATTTTGGGGATTTGCGGTCTTTTTAACCGAAAACATCAATTTGTGAAAATATTTTGAGGGTTTTGTGTGACTTTCAACGGTTTGGTGCAAGAAAGAAAAATGTTTTGCACAAAGACTTTTAAAAAAAACCCTACATATAAAACAATTATCGAAAAACATGCAAAACCTCTTGGAATCTCACAAGGCAGGAAGCAAATTTTGGAAATTGTTCTTGCATGCAAGAATGAATGAAGCAAATCTCATCATCACTATTTTGAACTCTAGGAAATTCCATCAATTGTTGTATCATTTCCAGCCTCCAAAGTCTTTTTCTTTCATAATTTAGAATGCAGCACAGACTTTTATTAAGCTCTATCCTACGGAAGCCTGGGATTTATAGTTTTACAAGGTCTATCACCTTCTCTGCAAAAGCATGCTGGTGCCTCTCAAAGGCTGCATCCGCACTGCAGAAATAATCCAGTTTGACCCCACTTTAATTGCCACGGCTCAATGCAATGAAATTCTGGGAACTGTCATTTGTTGTGGCACCAAAGCTTCATAGCACTGAGCCATGGCAATTTTAAAAGTGGGGTCAAATCGGATTATTTCTGCAGTGTGGATTCACCCAAAACTACAAATCCCAGGATTCTGTAGGAGAAAGCCACGGCAGTCAAAGTGGATGCATTCTAAGACGCACAAGGTACACAACTACAACATGCCCAAGAGGTGCACTATCCGAATTAAAAGACCTCCAAAAATGGAGAGTCCAGTTCATACAATGCCCCAGTTTCTTTGTCATCCTCCCACTTTCCTTTTTTGTCCTCAGCTTCCTTCAATTGCTGCAAACTGAGTTCAAAGTGCAAAAGTAGTAGAAAACGTTGGATGCATGCC